CATCTAATTAATGTTTCTCACCCCTCCTAGAGAGAGACCCAGGACTGTGAATAGTTTTGCTCACTGTCAGAGCCCTAGTACTACCTCACATGGTGCCTGGAATAGAAGAGAGGTCACATTCATGAATGAGTGAATGAATGAATGAGAAAATGAGTGACAGAGCAAACAGGACCCCAGTCTGGAATAACTTGGATACCAGAAAGGTACTCAAGCCCATAGGCCTGGCAGTTACATGACATGAGATGGAATTCCAGCCCCAGGAATGCAGCAGGACCCAGATTGGAAGCCTGAGGTCTAAGGAGGGCCCTAGCCAAGCCCGATGCAATGCTGAACCCCCTGGGGCCCTGACTGCAGGCTCTTTACATTGCCTTGCTGGAGGGTGAGGGTTGTTCTGGGCTGAGGTAGGGATCTGTAGGGCCGGGGAGTTAACTGGCCCTACCTGCAGGGAGGAAGCTGCAGGGGGACAGGAGCCATGCAGGTATGGTCCTGGGATGCTGAAGCAAGGATAGCATGGGTGGAGAGAACAGACTGACCCACCAGCAATTATTCGGGGGGAGCACATAGCGAGGTTAATTCATAAGCCCCATCACTGGGTGGTTCCCAGAGGACAGTGCCCTACATCATCTGGGGGCTGATGTGTGTTTAGTGGAGATATGCAGGCTGCAGGGCAGGAGGGGGGCCTTGTGGGTGGAGTGGCACTATGGCCTGCTCAGGGGTGGTGACAAGCCTCCCTGATGGAACAGGATGGACCCACATTACAGCTAAAATGGGTCCCATGGACTTGGTTATGCTAAGCCAGAAATTCTTCTGTATAGTCTGTTCAACTACACCCCTTCCCCAGTTCCATTAGCTTCCCACCTTTTCCTCAGATCTCCTTTCCCTCCTCCAATCTGTCCACTTCTCCCCTGTGTCTGTCAGGATGGAGAAAGACTGCTGTGCATCCCCAATGCCTAGTGTGTGGATGGAAGCTGTGTGCACAGTCAGCTGGAGGGGCAAGGCCACTGTGATGGCTTCATCAGAGTGACAAGCCCATCACACCTTCCCGTGTGGCCCCGAGAACAGCTGGGAAGGAGAGTCTGTACACCCCTGCTGGGCCCGCTGTTCAGCTGACAGATCTCACCTGGTGGCATTTTCTTCCTGCTCAGCCTGAGAAGGACTGTCCCCAGAGCTCTGGGCTTTCCCCTAAAGCCACTCTTCTGCCTGGCTCTTGACTTCTTTCAAGATGTTGGAGCTTGAAGTCTGAGTCTAAATGTTAGAATTCTTGGGTTTGGATCTTTGATTCCCAAGACTGCATGGGATCCCTGAGGAGTGATCGGTGTCACCCCTTGTGACCTCTGTACTCCTCAACCCCTGTGTCCGTGGCTGCCCTAATAGCTCCTCAGTCCTGTCCTAGCCACACCTGTCTCCTCTGAGCCCGAGCCACATTGTCACTGTTCCTGATAAAGGCAACGCTAACTGAGCCCCAGCACTCCAGGTGTGGTCTGAGGTGGACAGAGCAGAGGGTGACTGTCCCTTCCTCATTCTAGATGTGTTACCTTTTAAATGAGAGTCCTAGTCCTACTCTCACTTCAGGCAGTGACCTTACTCAGTTAACACATTCTGGTCTCCTAACAAAGGAGGGAAATAGCCAAGCTACTTAAAACATTTTCACTCCGTTATCGAAGGTTTGCTTAAAACTTATCCTGCCTCTTTTAGGAGAGTGATTCTCCCACTTGAGTGAGGGACTGAATTTCCTGGAGGGCTGCTGGACCCCACCCCACAGTTTGTGATCCAGTAGGTCTGGGGTGGGGCCTGGGAATTTGCATTTCTAACAAGTTCCCAGATAATGTTGGTGTTACTGGCCCAGGGGCCACACTTTAAGAACCACTGCTTTAGGGACATGCTTTCTGGTATGACTTTATATGCACAGTCCATACCAGTTCTGTCAGCTACTGCCTCCAAGCCCATCCCAGATGATTTATTCCTGGGGCTCTGATCCACTGGTTCTTTTCCATGGTGCCAAGTGCCCTTGGCTCCTTGTGGGCTTGCTCCTATTGCCAGGCCCAGATTCACTGCTCTGGAACCAGTGGGGGTTCTCCCCTTAGAGGATCGCAGCCCTGTGAGCTGGCCCAGAGGTCTAGGCCTTTAAGGACCCAGCCCCTCCTGACCCTCCTAGCAGCACTGGGAGCCCCACTCATGGCCTTCCTTACTCCCCTGGCAGCCCTGGCCCTCCCTTCCAGGTGACGGGGCAGCCGCCTCAGGTTCCATCAACGCCCATTTTTCTCATCCCTCCCAGGACCTGTCAGCAAATCAGACACCCGGTGGCTGCCTCTCTGGGCCTAGTATGCATATGGGCCCCGGGTGGGACCCTGCCTATACTTGAATGTGTGTGTGTGTGTGTGTATTGTCTTTTCTTGGGAATTAAGAATTTCTCTTTTCCCAGAAGAATGTATTTTTGCTTTTATGAGGGTGAATAAAAAAACAGGATTCACTTTGCAGCAATGCAGCTTATAGCAACCTGCTAAAAGACATTGGTTCCATTAAACAAGAGGTATGTGTAGTTCCAGAAGGAAAAATAGGTGTTTACAAATTCACATCTTTCATCTTTCACTAGTGAACTGCATGATTCCTCATAGCCACACGTGAGGGTGTGATTTTTTTCCTTGTAAGGAAGATGATCCATTATATTATTTATTTTCCATGCTTTGGTTATTTAAAAATATCATTTATTGCTGATTTCCTCCATTTGCTGTCCCTAAAACGTCCATTAGAATAAATATTCAAGCTGAGCGAAGACTTCTTCACCAGAATTATGAGCAATGAGTGGCTGACCGCATAGACCATCTGTTCTGGCTTGTTCTGGCTTACCTGGCTTCTGGAACGGTCCACATCTGGCAGGACCCAGAAGAGCCAGCCTGGGAGCATGCGGAGCATAACTGGTCTGGGGTCACACTTCATTCCTCATCTGAGAATTTAGGGGCAGAATAGGATGACCTCTAGGGTGTTTGGTTTTGTTTGTTTCAATTATATACAGCTTTCAGGCATGCACTTATTCTCAGACAGTTACCCTAAGCCACTGATCACTTTGATGCCTTGCCCTATGGCTGGAAATGATCATTCCAGCTTTTAAGCAGCACAAAGAACTTTAGTGTTTACAAAGCCACTCCACATCCTTGGTGTCTTTGCTGGGCCCTGAAACAACCCATTGAATTTCATGCTGTATTGCCCCCATTTCTGGGGTGAAATGTCTGAGACTCACCCCAACTTTCTCACTGAGAAAGTTCAATGGCATGAAGTATATTCGTATTGTTGTGCAACCCGCACCACCATCTATCTCCACATCTGTTTCATCACCCCAAACAGACACTGTAGCCATTAAACACTAACTTGCCATTCCCTCCTCCCCAGCCCCCAGAAGCCACTATTCCTACTCTGTCTCTATGAATTTGACTACTCTAGGTGCGTCATATAAGGGAAATCATACAGTACAATATTTGTCCTTTTGCATCTGGCTTATTTCACTTAACATAATGCCCTCATGGTTCATCCATGTTGTAGCATGTAACAGAATTTCCTTCCTCTTTAAGGCTGAGTAATACTCCATATGTATGTGTATGCCACAATTTGTTTATCCATTCATGTGATGTACACTCAGGTTGCTTCCACATTTTGGCTATTCCACAATAGCCAAATTCCACATTATCCACTAATGCTGCTATGAACATGGGTGTACAAATATCTCTTTGACCCTGTTTTCAGTTCTTCTGGGCATATTTTCAGAGGTGGAATTGCTGGATCACATAGTAATTCAATGCTCAATTTTTGAGGAACCACCATACCGCTTTGCACAGCTACTACACCATTTTATATTCCCGTCAACAGTGAATAAGGGTTCCAGTTTCTCCACATACTCACCAACACTTGCTGTTTTCTGCTTTTAGATAATAGCGTTTCTAGTTGGTGTGAACAAAAAGTCCTTTTAAGGATCATCTTCTCCTACAGAGGAAGAAACTGAAGTCCTAAGAGAGGGAGGTTAAGGTCACAATCAAGTCAGTGACAGAGCAGCCTGAGACCCCCCAAACCCGACCCAGTTTTTTCTACTAAGCACACAGTCCAGTTTCCATTGTTTTATTTATGTCAGAGGGTGCATAGCCATGGCCACAGGCTAGATACAGACTTCAGGTTTATTTGATTTGCTCCTTTGGTTTTGGTTTTGGTTTTAATTCAAAATAATATCATCCTTTTAAAATGTGGAAGATCTCATATTTTTAAATTCTAGATTTCTGAATTCCCCCTCAAATCAGAAGGTCTAGTGACTCTGGACTAGCATTCGCCTGGCAAGATTGGAGCTGAGCAGCAGTTGCCACTTTAGATGGGTCATGGGGTAGCCACTTTGCCACAGTCCCCAGCCTCCCTAATATATTTCCACACAAGCTGCCCCACATACTGCCTGGGCCCAGACAACATCAGAGTTTGCAGACCAGTGTTTCCAAGTTAGTTATTTTGTGTGTCAGCAGACTGTTAGTTATGCTTAATATCACAGGGTCGTTCCATATCCCCTACCCTTTCCTCTGTTCATTGTCTATCTGAAAGTCTTGGCTATTTCTTCACCCCAGAAGTGAAATAACATAACAAATAAATAATGCAAAATGTGGACAGATGTATTTGAATAGTCTGACTTGGAGACAGTGTGATGCGGTGCAGAAACATCAGCATGGAAGTCTAGAGGCTTGAATGTGTGTCTTAATTCTCCCAAGAAATTCCTGGGCAGCCTCAGCATGCCCTTTCCTGTCCTGCCTCCTCATGCCCGTGGGTCACCTGTGGGGTGGCACTGAGGAATCTCTAAGGTCCCATGGGGTGTTCCAGTTCATACTGAAGGAAAAGATCACTTCTTTCATGTTCTTGGTGGAGAAAAATGGCCTCACCAGCCCCACTGAGCCACTTCTCCAAGGTAGCCTCTCTGAACCAGCCCTTCCTGTGGCCACCAGCACACCCACCATCTGCTTTCTCTTTGCTGACAGGTGAGGAACGACCTGACTGGGGTTCTGTATGGTGAGGACATTGAGATTTCAGACACCGAGAGCTTCTCCAACGATCCCTGCACCAGTGTCAAAAAGCTTAAGGTAGGTGCGGCTGGCCGCAGCCTGGAGGACAGAACAATGCCATGCTCCTGGGGTGGCCACATCCTTCAGCCATGAAAGAGCTCCAAGCTCAGGCGTGTCCCATAGCCTCTTTGGCATCTCATATACACGGAGAAGCTCGCAGGAGCTAGTTCCCCCCGGCTTTTGCCTTGCTTGTTGTCCAATACCGGCCAAAGTCTGACTGCCAGGTGCACAGCGTGGAGGGCTTCCCTGCTGATTTCCTCTCTCAACCCTGAACCGCAAGCAGGGCATGAGTCGCTGTCATCTCTGTTGTGAAGAGGCTCAGAGAGAGGAGCCATCTCTCCGAGAGCCATAGCGAGCATGTGCTCTTGTTGAGACTGAGACCCCAGGCTCTGACCCCCTTCAGTGACGCTCCAGGAGCCGAAAGGGTCAAGTAGCGTCGGTCCATTCCATAAACTCCCCCAAGCACCTTGTTTGTGCCAGACCCTCTCCTGAGTTCACAGATGTCACTGGGCCTGTCCTTGTCCTCGAGAGCTCACAGCTGGTGAGGAAGGCAGATACCTTGCAGGAACCGAGGGGCCTGGGAACAAATGCAGGAAGTGACCCATCCTACTCAGGGAGAGGGTTCAGACAAGGCTCCTGAGAGGGAACAGCATTTGAGCGTGGCCACAGGAGATGAGCAGGATGGGCACCTGCAGGAGCCCAGCAAGGAAGAAGGGGTGAAGATCTGAGGTAGGGCAGCCATGCTCACTGTGTGCTTAGGACCAGCAAGAAATCCATGGAGGCTGGAGTATCAGGGCTGGAAATAGAGTTTGGAGCCAAGGTCCACAAGCCTTGAATGCCAAGCTAAAAAATTTGGTCTTTTATCCTAAAGTACTGGGGGTATGTAAACAGGTACAGACACAGTTAGAGCCATCACCTTCCTCTTTCATTTTCTTCCATCCCCTCATGCCCACATTTAAAGTCATTGGCATGGAGGCCCCAGATGCCAGGTACTGATATGTCCCCTTCCACCTTGGGCTGGTCCCAGGTTACACTAGTCAGAGCAGGTGGCAGTTTAGAGCTCTTGTCTTCCAAAACCCTCAGCTCATAGATGGGGAGACTGAGGACCAGAGATGGGGAGCAAGAAAGCAGAGCTCCAGCTGTTTGTCACCTACTCTTGGGAGCACACAGTGCCTGTGTGTCACATATCAGCCCTGGGAGCTTCTACAGCCCTGCAGCTTCCAGGTGAGGAAGCAGTAGCTGGGGAGGGCCTGCTGGCAGCCCAGGTGTCAGGGGCTGGATCTGTCCAAGCTCTTCCCCACCAGGCTGTGTGGTCTAAGGGCCTGTTGGGTCATCTGGGGCCTGGAGGACTCACTCTGCTGGGAGCATATGGGGCTGGGGGTGTGATGCTGTTCTGACCTTCTCCTGCCACATGCTGCTGTGTCTCCCCAGGGTGCACACTTGAAATAGCTTCCTGTGCCTCAGAGGCCCAGCAGAGTTCTGTGAGCTTTAAAGTTTAAAGAGCCTTTGTGTGTGGAGCAGAAGCACTAGTTGAAAGTGTCTGAGAAATCGGGCCTGGAACTGGGTGCTCTGCCCACCAACCAACTCACTCCAGCAGCGGGAGGAGTGGTATTAACAATGATGAAAATAGCAATCGGCCTTTCCAGTGCCTTGACCAAGAGCCAGGCCCCCAGAAGAGCCCTTGACCTTTGCTTCCTCATTCAGTCTGCCCCAGAACCTTCAGGTAGAGGGAAATTTTGTCCCCCTGTGTCATAGATGGGGAATTTAAGGCTCAAAGAGGATAAGGCACTCACCCCGAGTCACCCAGCTAGAAAGTGGTGGGTTGGAATTCAAACCTGGATATGGCGACACCGCAGCCCAGCTTTCTCCAGCACACCGCCCAGCTGCAGCTCTGAGAAGGGACTCCGACATGCATAAGCCAGGAGAACGGCGCCGAGTCTCAGTCTGCTGGCAACAGGGTCCCTCTGCGTGGCATGCTCTTCCCACAGACACTGCGTGGCTCCTTCTCATGCCGCCTTCTGGTTTTTGTGCAGTTGTTCACTTCCCCCAGAGGCCTTCCCTGAATACTTTATTTAAAATCTAAGTCCCTGATCCTCGCACTCCCATTTTTGCTAATTTTCTCCACTGATAGACACCTGTATTCATTTCCTGGGCCTGCCATAACAAAATATCACAAACTAGGTAGCTTAAAACAACAGAATGTATCCTTTCACATTCTGGACACTAGAAGTCCAGGGTCAAGGTGTGGGCAAGGCCATGCTCTGTAGAAGGCTCTAGGGCTCTTCCATGCCTTTCTCTTAATTTCTGGTGCGGCCCACAATCCTTGGTTTTCTTTGGCTTGCACCTGCCTAACTCCAGTCTCTGCCTCAAATGGCATTTCCCCCTTTTTCTTCACATTGTGTTTTTATTAGGACACTAGTCATGATGAATTAAAAGCCCACTCCAGTATGACCTCATCTTAACTAATTGCATGTGCAATGACCCTATTTTCCTAAGGTCACACCCTAAGCTGTTAGGGGTAATGGTATGTATCAGCACATCTTTGGTGGATACCATTCAGCCTATAAAAACATCTGTACTATTCATTTTACCTGGTTGTTTTATCACCTGTCTCTTCTCACTAGAATGTAAGCTCTAGGAGGCAGCATTTTTATCTGTTGTGGTCACTGTTTGTTCCCCATTACCTGGAAGCAAATGTAATTTACTCAACAAATTTGTTGAGTGTGTGTAAATTAAAATGCCAGGTCTGGACGGATGAAGCCAACAGATGACACAGGATAAAATACCCAGCAGCAAAGAAAAGTCACTTCTGGAAAGCTCAAAAGAAAAGTAAATCTCTCGTTTATTGCAGGATATGAGAAGGAGGTACAGAGGACAAGGAAGAAAACTAAATGTCAAATAGCAGAATTAACATCTGCATTGGAGGCAGGAGAGTAGAGTTCATGCCAAGGAAAAGAAAAATCAATAATATGGAAGATGAACTTGAGATGCTCTCCCAGAATTCCAAGGAAGTGGCCAAAGAGATCAATCCTGAGAGAAAAGATAGCAGCTATGGCCACTTAGGAAGGGGGAGTCTCAGAGAAAAGCCGGGCCAATGAAACAGAACCAAAGCCAAATCAAAACAGGTACCCCAGGAGTAACCAGCAGGCCTAGCACCCAGATTTGTTTTCTGACACCATCTCCATGAAAAGACCAGGGCTCCTTGGAGAAATGGCTGATTCTTGAACTGGGGCAGGAAATATACAAGATGATCCTGGAGCATCTTTCAATGCCAGAAACCAAGGAAGGGCTCCAAATAATACCACACACAGACGGGCAGGGGGGGTAGGGGGGTGTAGGGGGTGGTGTCAGAGGAATACAGCAGCGACAGAAAGAGCTTGCCATGCCAAAGCTGGGACGATTTCAGCAATAAAATGAAAGTAGTATTGGATTACCAACCAAAGTAGAAAATAAACATCCATGAGGCCATACTGCTATGAATAAATAAATGGGAGAGATGGGAGAGAATAGACAAATCTCCTATGCAGGAGAATTCCAAATAATTTATGTAGCTATTTCATGCTCAAGGAGGTGGAGCAGAACTACCCACTTCTTAAGTAACTTCCTTGCAGGGAGTACACTATGAAAAAGAGGGGGAGTAACTTGACAGCGGAAAAACCTGACATACCCAGCCTCAGCCAGGTGATCAAGGTTAACGTTACCAGTGATAAGTCATGTTGATAGTCTGTACACTTGATAATGATGTGATGAGAAAGGCACTTTACTTCTGGGGTCTTCCTCCCCAAAACCCACAACACCAGTCTAACCATGAGAAAAACCTGAGGCAAATTCTCTTTGAAGGTCATTTTACAAAATACCTTACCAATACTCTTAAAAACTGTCTAAGTCTTCAAAAATAAGGAATATCCGAACCATCAGGAGTCTATGGAGGCATGACAACTAAAGGTGTCCTGGATGGGATCCAGGAGCTGGCCAAGGACATCCCGGAAAAAGACTAAGGGAACCTGAGCAAACTACGGGCTTTATTTAATAATGTTAGGCATCATGATCACAATATTAATTCTATAGTTGTAACAAATGCAGCGTACTAACAAAGATGTTAATAACACAGAAAGCTGTGTGAGAGGTACATAGGAAGTCTCTATACCATTTTTATAATCTTTCTGTAACTCTAAAACTGTTCTCAAATAAGAAGTTAATTTTTTTTTAATATGAAGCAAGATTAAGTGGGCACAAGAGGGTCCTGCTAGATTGGATCATATAAAATTGCTACTATGCAACCATTCTGGAACTATGAAGTCAACAACTTAATAAGGAAATGTGCAGACAAGCTGGCCTTTCCACATGCTAGCTGATTTGGTGAAAAGAGGGTCATACTCACACATATTTTGGCAAAAGTTTTGAAATACAAACTTAAAGGGGAAAATCTCTAAGTATCTAGGCCAGGAAAAAAAAAATTTCCCACAAAGGTACAAAAACCAGGCCACCTTGGCTCCTGCAGCATCAACCCCAGGGACAACGGAGTGATGGGAGGCGTCCTTTAATGCCGGAGGCCCACACGATGTACTAGCCTTCTGCCCTTCCTGAAGTTAATCTGAAGTCCTATGCCAGCCAGCCAAGAATGATGGCGAACGTCATAGTTGAGGCTGTGACAAAAACAGCTGAGCAGGGGCTACCAGAACCCGTGGAAAGAGAGCTAAGTTAAATAATTGTTGTGAAAGTGTATATAGATGCAAACATCATTTTGAAAGCAAATGTACCTATACATACAATGCAAAAATAGATTCTATTAACAAAATTGAGATATAAAAATCCAAATCCCATGAACAGAGTCAAAGAAGTAAGTTAAAAAAAAAAATGGGGGCTAACCTCCTAGTCTTAAGTAGAAGAGGGACTCACAGAGACCATTTTGCTCATGAGTTTCATAATTAGAAAAGTATAAGCTAAAGAGGGCTTTGAACAACCTAGTGGTAAATATACTATAATGCAAACAGAACCTGAAGCTTCTGAAACACAAG